TTATTCAAATTTGTATGCCACGTGTCAGTTTCGAGTGTCCAAAGTTTGAACTTTATGTTAGGTATCAGAGCTGACTTGTAAAAGCCTACAGCATTGTATCAACTTTCTTATATATGCCCAGGATGACAATTACGTTTTATGATGGGATCAGTTCCTGTCCGACTGGTTGTATTTGCCTGTATCTGATAATTACAGTTGTAGTCTATTGGAAATTACCTCAGAGCTGTCATTGATGGTTTTGTGTGTGTAAGATCAAAGACAAGCAACTTGTCGTGGAATTACTTTTATATTCAACTACATATGATGCCAGCATTCACTTTTTTCTTCTTCTATGTTTAGGTATACTTTTTTAGTCATTATACATGTACCATAAGTTATCTTCTTCATGGGGTCTTTCTCTTTCCTTTTCCTGTGTCTTTCTGTTCCTTTTTGTGTCTTGTGCTGTTTAAGACAATGCATAATGCCATACCAATATAGTAGTTATTGTTCTTTAACATGAATTTGAAAACTCTGATTGGTATCTTTGAAAATTCCTGCTGCACATGACTAAATTTTGGTGATTAATTGTCATGTTAGGTATCTGAAGGTGGGGAAAGTCATTACATCAGGAGCGAGTTTTCTTTTTCCTTTGCATCTTGTCTTTTAATTCCATCATGTCTATTATGTTTAGGTGCAAATGTAGCAGGAGGCAGAGGATTCTACTTGAAAGGAAATGGTGCACTACTGAACCAAGCTCTTATAAACTTCGGTCTTCATTTTCTTAAAAAAAGAGGATTTGAAGTATTGCATACCCCATTCTTCATGAGAAAAGATGTTATGGCTAAGTGTGCTCAACTAGCACAGTTTGATGAAGAACTCTATAAGGTAACGCTTATGCTTACAAAATTGACATTAGAACCAGCTAGAAAAACCACTTTTGTTTTCTCAACTTATTCCTTTATGTTATGTCATGTATTTTACAATTCATATGCCCTCAACTTGTGATTCATATAATGCTCGAAAGATGGGGGGGGGGGGATGTCTTAAAATCCTATTTAATTGGATAGGTAGATATTTCCAACTAGCACACACGGAAGTATCTACCTATATAGAGGTCTTTAAGCGTCATACACACTATATGTTTGGTGCTATTTTCCAAGTCTTACACCAAAGAGTTCTTTCTGCCTTGGCATATAATTTTGGAAATACCAGGTTTTGTTCTCTATTTTGTGCTTATCTTGCATCTATGTTTGATGGAAGTCATGGCAGTTGCCAGAAGAAGAATAAGAAAGGGCATCTGTGCTATCCAATTTCTAATTATTTAGGTAATCATTAAAGTCAAGAAGAGAAAGGTCTCAATGACTTGGATTTAATTGCATTTTTTAAGTAAATTGTCATTGTTCAATCACATGTCCATCTGGACATGTCGGAGTGTTAATTTAAGTTGCCATTATGTAAATATGTGCTTTGGATCTTTGTCATTTGGTGAAAAGTCACATGTTACTCCCTGGAGATTTTCTTTTTGATGGTCCTACCATTTCTTGTAAACTGATCATTTGAAGTGTTTGCAGGGAAAGTCCAAACTCTAAAATTGAAATCAACTTCTATTGTTTGTGTGTCCATACATCTTTCAAATCGGGGTCTAAGGATGCATTAATATTGATTCATCTTGATTGGCTTCAAATTTTCTCCTGTTATTATTGTCTGTCCGTCCGTCCCTTTTTATTATTTTCTTATTACCTAACCTGCAAGGCTTTTACTGTTTGCTTTCAATAGGTAGGCTTAACCGCATTTAATCTGACAAATTGAGATGTCTAATTCTTTTTCTTCAAACTTTTAACTTTGATGTCCCAGTTTCTTTTACAATTATACTCGTATAAACAAATATCTTTTGGTGGAACTGTCATAAGTTCTGATCTCTCATTTTTTTTTTGGTGGAAGCACCATTTAGTTTGAGCAGTTTGTCGTCGGATTTTTATCTTATTCAAGAAATAATGCTTGACAATTCATACCATGATTTCAAGTCTGGATGGTCTGGTCTTTCAGTAGCCTGATAAGTTGTTTGCTTGATAGGTAACTGGTGAGGGAGAGGACAAATATCTGATTGCTACAGCTGAGCAGCCATTGTGTGCTTATCACATGGATGATTGGATTCACCCAACACAGCTTCCTTTAAGGTATGGCATTTCTATTTGAATGCTTTCTCCAAACATACGACTAACTGGAATTGCTTTATTGACTGGATGGTTTTGTAAAGTGCAGCTGTTTGCTTTGCCTGATTGTTATTGTTGCTATCTGGCAGATATGCTGGATATTCATCTTGCTTCCGTAAAGAAGCTGGCTCCCATGGTCGTGATACTCTTGGAATTTTTAGAGTGCATCAGTTTGAGAAAGTAGAGCAATTCTGTATTACCAGCCCGAATGGCAATGACTCCTGGGACATGCATGAAGAAATGATGAAGAACTCAGAGGAATTCTACCAGATGGTATGGATTTTTACTTCCCCAAATAGAAGGACTGCACTCTGATGTTCTCGAGTTTAACTGTGTCTTTCATGAATCTTACCCCTTTCTTTTATATTTGCAGTTAAAACTTCCTTATCAAGTTGTAGCCATTGTATCTGGTGCCCTGAATGATGCAGCTGCTAAAAAGTATGATTTGGAAGCATGGTTTCCGGCCTCGAATACCTATAGGGAGCTTGTTTCCTGCTCAAATTGCACTGATTATCAGTCAAGAAGAGTAGAAATTCGCTATGGCCAGAAAAAGGTGAAGTCTCATTTTCTCAATTGTAACTGCACATAATACATTAATCATCCATTTGCATTTTTTATCAAGAAATTACACTACACCTGAATAGAAAGGTCTATGTGAGTTACTTTTACAGCTGCTATAAAGTGCCCTTTGCTTTTGCAGAGCAATGAGCAAGTCAAGCAATATGTGCATTTGTTGAACTCTACACTGACAGCTACTGAGAGGACATTGTGCTGCATTCTTGAGAACTACCAGAGGGAGGATGGTGTTGAGATACCAGAGGTGCTACAGCCATTCATGTGTGGAGAGACCTTCCTTCCATTTAAGAAAACCCCAGCCAAAGAAGTAAAAGGGAAAAAATCCAAGCCATGAAGGCAGTTAGTTTGATCCTATTCCATTTTTCCAAGATCTCTCCTCACACGTGGCTTTTTGGGGAAACTAAAGGTGAAGCAGACCCTGTAAATGAGGTCACAACAAAGAAAAGACAGGAGCAATATAGAACTGTAAGGTTAAGCGTATGCTAACGCATATCTGGACAGTTAGATTGTAACTTTTGCATATTGGTGCATTTGCACCAGTAGAGGTTTTATTCCTGCTACTTATCTTGACACTGCCTACAGATGATCTTCAAAAAAATTTCTCTAGTTGACTGTATTTTTTATGAAATACCAGATATCAGATTGAGTTTGATGAATTGTTTCACTTATGAGTTATTCAATTTTATATGCTCTTTAAATTCTTCTGAGTCAGGAAAGTGAAATAGCATGGTATACTCTCTTTTTCAGTATGCTTAACCCTTGCTCCCAACCATTCCACCCCCTTTTTCCATGTATAGCTAAAGGCAGTGCGAAGACCTCTGTTTTTAGCTTTGAAGCCTTTGATATGCTGCAACTTGCAGTTATGCGCAAAACATACATACTATAGTAAAGAATTGTTATAGTAAAGAATTGATGCAAATTCCAGCTCCTTTTGTTTCAAGCGCATATTAGTCCACGAATATGTTGAAAAAAAAATGTCAGTTGTCTAATTCTTTACATCTCTTCAATAAGTTTGAGGAGGAAAAAGAATAGGAAGCTGTCTACTCCTCTGTCCTTTAGGGGGAAGCCCACTGTCAATTAATTTCCTCCAGATTCTTCCAAAATTTGTAACTTTCTTCAAGTATAATATCAATATGCTTCTGGGAACAAGTTCCACTTAAATCCACAATAGTGCTCAGATTAGAGAGGATATTCTACTGACTACAAAAACCCTTTTTTTTTGGTTCCTTTTTTGCACATATAATCATAGGGTTGGTCCATTTGAATGTAAATATCTATCAATCAATCCACTGTGAGAATCTTATGTGAATTCAATTTCTTAAGCCATACTCAAGTAAGATGCTTGTTTACATTATGCATTATTTGTTCAGCTAGAATACACAAGTTGTTGCCAAAACCTGATCATCTTTTCACCATAATTTGTGCAAATCAAAGGGCCTACATGCCATCTTAATTTCTTCTTAGGACATTTTTATATTCCTTGGTTGACTCCAAAAAGTTGCCTTGTCAAATCCAGAATGCATGCATGTTGAAAACTAGCAAATCTAGATCATATTTTAAGTCATAAATTGTTAATCATTGATAATTGTCTGTGTTTCTACGTGTTTCTATGTGTTTACTCCTTTTCCCATTTGGACTTTTCAGTCTGCCACTTTCACAATTTCACAATTTCACAAAAGGTAATCTTCTCTGTTTTTTTCCTTTTTTCTCTTTTTCTTTTTGTTTTTTTTTTTTTTTTGAATTTTTGCGTTGTTCCAATGAAGCTTGGGCACGAGTGACATCATGACAAAGGCTTTTTGACAATTTCTAAAGTCTCATTAGCCCAAATTCAAAAGCAGACTGGACTTTAAAAAAAACAAAAAATAAATTCAAAAGCTTTATGGAACCAATAGTCAAAGAGAATAGCCAATGGAGTAAAGTTAATTTACAAAAATTGCAGTATCATTTTATTTATAAATATTTGTTATTCAATTGAAAACCACAAACACTTTCCATCTAGAGTGCAGATATTTTTTGTTCTATTTGAGGTGGATACTTTACAAATTTTAGTTTGCTTTTTCAACAAAATAGCACCTGTAACATCACTTATCCAGTGAAAAAAAAAGCCCTTTAATTATATTCATATTTGCTATGCTTAGAGTTTATTTCCTTGCACGTAGAAAATTATAATTGCCATTTGCCAAGACAGTTTTACAAGCAAGAATTAATACAAGACCCTGCTCGATAAATAAGTAAATAAAGAAAATAACTGAAATTCATTGTGGAGTGAAAAAAATATATATACAGGTGAAGCATGATTTCACAGTATTTGAACTCTTATAAAAACAGAAAAATTGAAAACAGATAATTGATGAGATCAATACTTGTCTCTTGATATGTTTATCCACAGCTTTCACATGGTGAATCCGAATATGTGAACCTATGATAAAGTGCTATGCAGAAGAGGAAGTGAATACAAATTAGACAGAAGAATGAGAAAAAAAAATAGACTTCATTAACATCTTGAAACCATATCTTTATCTATGATGTCTATAGCAAGAATATTTGCAGTAAATATTCAAAAATAACTTACAAATCTGAGATGGAAGAGAAAAAAGATATAAGGAGAAAGAATTAAAAACAGAAAACAAAGGGGAAAAGAAGTCTAACTAAAGTAATCTAAGATGCCAACAAAGGTTCAATATTATTGAGTAGTTGAAAAAACAAAAACTAAGAAATACAATTAAAGAATGGAGGCATGCTTTATCTACAGCTAGCCTTTGTATGTATGCTCCCTTTGAAGCACACTCAGCCCTTGAATGCTCACCTATTATGTAGAGGATCAGGACAAGATGGCACTTCTCTGTTGACGGTTGCAACAAAGCCTTGATCATTATCATTGGAAGTACTTTTATTGGTACTTCTACTGGTACTCCACATATCATCAGGCTTTTCACCATCATCCACCTTATCTTGCAGATACCTTGCTCCAACAACTACTTGTTGCAGTGCCAAAAAGCTGAGCAAAATCATGCACAAGCATCCAACTTGACATCTTTTTATTGACATGAGTGCTCCTGTAAGTGGTTCTTCCTCAGTTTCAAGGATTATATATCAAGGTTTGTGGATTGTGATAAAAAATGGAAAAGAGGGTTCTCTACCTATAGATGAATAGTGGATTATAGATCAAGTAAAAACACTAAAAAGAGAGTGATCTTGTGAAGGAGACAGATATCCTTGGAAAGCAAATACAGAGAGTAGGGTTGTCTTGAGGGACGGCTGAATTATGGAAAAGGAGTTTGAGCTTCTTGGAAGTAAAATATAGTAAATCGGTAGACTTTTAAACGGAGTCATAATAATTGGTTCTTGGTTTTGCTTATTTTTTTTTTCCCCCTTTTTCAGGTTTTCCACAGGCTACAACTGCCCACTTTGCTTCTTGGGCAGGAGGACGACCGGGTATAACTTATAAGGCTATAGAGGTGTGTTGCATATAACACACACACGCTCACAAGTGTGTGTGTATATGTCATATACATCATACTTCTATATATATAGATATGTGTATATATGTATATACATATATATATAGAGAGAGAGAGATTTTAATCTTTGTAAACAAAAAGATAAAAAGCATGCACTAGAAGAGACTAATAAGCGAGCGCTTTGTAAGACATCATTTATGCAATTTTATGCAGTAAATATACTTTTAATGTTTGTAATAGCAAAAAAAAAAAAAATGTGAAAAAATATGCAAGCAATGGTGGGGTTGGTATTTTAAAGTAAGATTTACTAATACTAAATAAATTGTTCGTACTCCTCGCTCCTATTTTTCATGTGATACATCTACAAATGGGAAGCCGCCTAGAAATACACACAATTTTGGAGCACAATCAATAATTATAGTATTCGTACTATAGATTAGTGTTTAATTTGTTTTTGTCCATGTACACGCCACTCATTAGCTCTTCACGTGTACAATTAAAGGAAGTGAACTGTCCACAGTTCCAACTATGAACAATCAACTATTCCATTATTCTTTGAACAACAATTTTGCATTACAAATTGTGTAACCTGAAATGGAAATTGTGTCCAGTGACTTAGTTGTAGATTTTCCTGAGGACCAAATTAATCATCAAAAGCACTATAGATTTAGAGGAACGCCTAACATGATCAAATTATTGAAGAGCATATACTTATCTTAAAATTTAAGACGATACTAAATCGACACTCCTGCAGTTTAAATCCACACCTAATATCTTTTAATGCTAATAAGACGAGTTATCAACACTCATGACACAAGTCATTACTGCATTAGGGTCGTGGATTTAGCTGTAGGATTGTGGGTTTAACCCATCCCTAAAATTTATGTGATGCCCACTAATATACACTTGATATATTATATAATGACTATTTGATTAACAATCATTTACTTTCTTATCTTTTCAAGCATAGAACGATAAGCAGAAGAGATTACTAAAATTTCCATATAAAGTTTTCGAAGTAAACAAGAAATTAGGTTCTTCTAACAGGTAGCTATTGGGCCCCATTAGACAAACTCCTAAAAATTTGTTTCTTTATCCACTGACAACATGAAGAATGGAGGAGCTAATGTTGAAACAGATCATATCTTGAGGTAGTTTCATAATGGAAATATATCAGAGTTTAGGGATAATGCAAATAAAGGTTTAGGGGATAAGCTGATATCTGATAACTTTATCAGACAAAACTCTACCTTATAAAGCAAAACTCTACATATAGTAAATTACATATAGTTTTTATTTTTTTTTATTAGTGGTCGAGATTGTGATGAAGAGGATCAAATTTAACTTGAGTCAGATTCAATGATGACAATATGCAAATGTCATGCAGACCAACCACTGCACGAGATTTCATAATCTTCCAAAATTTGTATGCTGGATGTCCACTTTCCAGTGGCACAAGCCACAATTTGAGGATCTAAGGTTTGACCCTACCTTAGGACTTTTCAGCATTTTGCATTATCATCTTCCTAAACTCTAGAAACCAAAGTCCTTGTTCTTTATGATATCTATGGACAGTAATAATACTTTACAACTCCCTTGCTTTAATCAAAAGTTGACTTGTCAACTTTGTGTGGCCTTCTTTCATAAACTAGGGGTTACTGCCTCTTGAAGAAATGACACGTTTTTCTAAAGCATATTCACTTGTTGGAGTTCGGATTTCTTTATATAATTTAGCAAAGTTTTGTATCTTCCTTTGTTTTAGTTAGCTTGTGGCAGCACTTTTCCAGCAAAATGAATATCTTAATATGGAGATTTTGCAACTTTTTTTTTTGCAGCAATTCTCTCTATGTCTGCCTAGATTATAAACTTATGAAGCCTTGTGACATCATGATTCAGAATAGACACATTAGTTTCTTGTCATCGAAGTAAATTTATCTTGCAGCAAGGATAGGTACGATATATACATCACAAGATTTGCGACATCTATGTTTCGCATTGGAATATACTGAACCCTATCAACGGTCGTTGTGGAATCTAAGGTCACCAACTCACCGTCATTCAAATGATTTTATAACCTGATTTCAAAAAATCAAACGCGTGTAATGGAATTTCACAATAGTTTGACTTGCATTCCTCGAGTATGTTCCTTGAGAACTTTGACTTCTCAAGCCCATAGCTGATGATAATTGTTTATACTTAAAGTGTGGAAAATACCTATCTGAACTAATTTCCTCACCCTCTCACAAACAAAAGAAGAAATGTGGCGGACAGAATTTGGTCGTGCAAAGCCAAGTGCACTGCGTTTATTATGGACTTTTTATTCTATAATCAGGTTACCTCATTTGTCAACATCTCTTCGGCTTTTTCTCACAGGACCCTTAAAACAGTGGCAAACCATATAGCAGAATGAAATTAGAAAATGGATGACTCGAGTAATTAGTCGTATCACCCTAAATTTGCTCCTAGTATAGAACGCATTAGAAAGAGGCAATCTAATTCCTGGAAGTTGGAGCCATTTTGGCCTATCTTGTAAGAAATAAAAGCCACCAGTGGCACAGAGTGTAGTCAGGACACGGTATAATTCAATATGACCGACTGCAGTTCGAATAGAGGAGAAAAAAAAGATATGGTGTACTTAAATTGCGTTGTTCATTCATTCTGTTCAAGTACCTTACAATATTTTGCAGAGACCTAAAAACTAAATGAAGTGTAACATGGGCTAATACCTCTTTGTATAGATGCTTGACTTCACATTGTCAAAAATTGAATGAATCAGCAAGGTTTTTGATGAACCTCCAATTCTGTTTAAGATGAAATGGGTGGGCGGACTCGCGATTGATAATATCATCATACTGTGACAGTGAAGAGGTAAAGCTTCAACACCAAGGCAAGAGCCAGCTGCAACAGGAATATCCCGACCACAATCAGGAACCATCTCTCACCAGCAGACTTTATGTGGTTTCTGAGATTCAGTGCAACAAAGGTTGCAGACATGAACCCCGCTACACCGGCAATCACCCATCTGACTATCTGTGATGGAATAACAGAGAGACACTGCAAGCAGAAAAGAGTCAATAATTCAGCAGAAAATCATTTCAGTAACTGCCACATAAAAAATCATTTGATCAAGGAACATCAACAGAGGAATCCGACAATTTGATGCACAAGGGGAGGCTGTCGTATACAAGTAAATGTGACTTTCATTCAAAGAAATTAATGATTGTAGGAATTTAATAAATCCACCCTCACTTAAGAAACACAGTGAATTATTAAAAGATATTTGACAAAATCATTGTTGGCTACGTTGAAAATTGCACGTACATGAAAAAGTTCTGTAAATTTTCTGCAAATTTTATGCTAAACAATATGTGCATAGTTTAAAAGTCCTTTAGCACTATTAGATAATCATAACCAGTCAAGTAGCAGCTTACCAGAGCAGGAATGAAAACAAATAGGGAGTAGCCATAGAGACAAAACAGCTGGACAAGGCCAGATGGGGCAGAGAAGTATTTGAGAATGAGATACAATCCAACAGGAACTATGGTGACGTAGCCATAGAACAAGCCAGCAGACCAAGTCACCAAATTGATATCGTAGTCCCATTCCTTTTTCTGTAGCTTGTGTGACAAGTATGTAACAAATGTGCCAATGGAAGCTGCTACGAATATTAAACTAGTGCATATCCAGAATGGCCCGTACCTGCAACAAATATTAACATAAAGCTATGAAAAAAATCACCTTTTTATGAAGTAAATGATGGAAGCAACACTCCCCTTTTGTTCCTTATGATAAACATGTATTTAAGATAAAAGGGTAGCTGAAAGTGTTCAAAATACACAGTATCTAAAAGACATTCCTTTCTTTCCAAAAGGGTGCAAATATCTAAATTTGACATATCCAAACAGAGCTAATTCAGCTATTTAATCCAAAAACTATAATTCCTAGAATCAGCACAACAATCATGGAAAAATAGTATGCTTATATGGACTGTTAAGATGAACAGATCAAGCACAATGCATCTTAAAATATCATGCAATCCTATAGAAGAAAAGGAATAGCATGTGCTCTGAAAATACACACGTTCTGTTTTCTCTTAGGAAGTACTATGTTTCTTGTGGATAGCATATATTACTCCCACTTCTTTCTCATTGTTAAAGTCACACAGGATTAATTCCCTCATTAGTCCACAATGATCTTATCAAAAATTGTAAAAAGGAGGAAGGGGGTGGGTAAAGAAGACGACGATGAAGAGATCTAGCATAGCATCACATTTAAACCAGTATACCAAGCTTCCAAATGCCTGTCAGCTAAACTCATGTTCATGACACCCAAAAAGTCCAACTATAAAATTAGCAAATAAAAAGAAGGCAGATAAATGCTTTCAAAAAAAAAAAGGGATAACTTTCTATTTTAAACGTAAACTTTGTGTTTCATATCAATTCTCACTAACATCAACCTGCCCAACCAGCAACATATGCAATATGTTAAAAAAGGAAAAAAAAATCTTACAAATCTGGCCGGTCAGCAGTTTTCTCATTGAAACTTCCTCGGAAAGGAAAGAGTGAATCTATGATCCTTTCTACCACATCAGAAGTATCAACATCGAAGTAGGGCTTATAAGCAGCTATAGAGAAAGTCCGAAACCAGCCCCCTTGCTGGTCATCATCAGATCCACTTGCTGTTTTTGAGAATGTATCTACAAATTGAAGAACACAGTATCGATCATACAACAAACTGACTATAGTTGCACTGAAACAAAAGCAAGTCCATAACTGAAGCAAGAAAAATAAATGAGAGATAACTTCCTTTCTCAGCAAATCAAAAAGAATAGGACTAATGTACAAACCAAATTATACTCTTCAAAGTTCTCAGCAACAGATTAATAGGGATTAAAAGGTGATCTAGAGCATTTCAAGAGTAAAATCAGCTGACAAGAACAATTGGTCCA